TCAATGGAAATAGAAATAGTATGATGACTTAGGTATGGAGGCGCTACCATCACGACCCAACCTCTTTCCAGAACCTTGGTATGTAAGAATAATAAAGAGAGAAAGAGAGAGAGAGGGGTGGGGGGGGGGGGGAAGAAGCAAAAAGTCAAATAAGGCCTCCAAAGTTCTTGATGCTTGGCTCTATAAGAAAGTTCATTGTAGAAGTTGTCTAGAACCTTGGTTTTCAGAACAAGCTAAGGCGGATCCAATAAGTTCCAAGAAACTTTATTCAGTTTTTTCTAGTAGAAAAAAAAAAACCCTTAACATTTTGAAAACTAAAAAAAGCTTGGTGCCTAGATTGTGGTCGCAAAGATGATGAGGAACTAAATTCAAGATTTTTCTCATGGGGTCAATTTTAAAAGGAAAGATTTCTATATAAGGTTGCAACTTTAAATTATAGAAGTACAAAACCGTTGTGGCTCTAGAGCCTCTATTGCCGGAGTGCCTTTATAAACTACCAGAGTGCCTTTATAGACTGCCGGAGCGAAATGTCTCCAGAAGGTGTATCGCCGGAGCACGTTCATGTACTGTCGGAGCGCTGAGCACACTGTCGAAGTGGCCTATTACACTGCCAGAGCACTGTGGCTTCAGAGTATATATTGTCGGAGCGTTCTTTGGGACTGCCGGAGCGCGTCATCTCCAGAAGCTGTACTGCTGGAGTGCGTCTTTGTACTGTCGGAGCACATTGGGTAAATTAAAAAATGGGAAGAGAGAAGGGCGTGTGAAAAAAAGGGTAGTTTAGTCTTTTTTTCTTATTCTTTTTGGGTTGGGGGTTTTTTTGAGAAAAAGGGTTGTTGTCGAGAAAAAAGTTGGATGGGGGTAAGTTGCATAGGTAGTGTACATTGGGGAGTTTTTTATAATTTTTCCTTATTTTTAATACTTGAAATTTATTTTTATTTTATATTCATACATATCAAGATCGAGATGATCAATTTGACATTTTCTAGTGACGAAACAACCTATTTCCTATGGGTTTCTAAGGTGCTCCTTACTTCTACATCATAACGTTGATACCTTATATAAACTTTTTTTTTTTATTATAATAAGGAAAAAGTCTATATAAGGTTGCAACCTTAAAATGTAGGACTATGGATGCACTTCAAAAATCTATTGGAAAATGTTGTTTTAAAGTTGAACAACCCTCTAATTGATTATCTTGACATCGAGATCTATGACTATTAAGAAAAAAAAGGATTTTGAGTCTCGTGCATCCTATAACACATTATCTAGACCGTCTATTTTCAAGATTTTCATATGTTTATAAATCTATTTGATTTTAATTGTTTTTCGAGTTTAAAATGTTATAATTAGATATGAAAATAGATTTTGAGATAATTATAAGAATATTTTACATCAAAATTATATGCTATGATAAAATTTGAAGGTGAGTCTTGATTGGATTGTTTAAGATTGCAACTTTATGGAAACCACACCCTTATAATAATGGCTTTTTGAAAACTCATGATCACGTAACACGAGAAAGAAATCTCAGGCTTATGTAACTGAGACGTGCCCACAGTGTTTCGCATGTGTTGACACAATCAAGGTACGCATGTTTGATACTTTGAAGTTGTAATACTTGAGACAATTCTTTTTTTCTTTTTTTCTCGCTTTTGGAACTTCACCGCAATTGCTTTGGTGTGTATATTTGAAGGGTGAGGTTTGTGTAAGGCGCCTCCTTATAATTTAGTAGTAGGGCGTACCTCTAAAATTTTCTTAGGGGTGTAGTTGGGATGTCAAAAAAACTTACGATGGCTTAAAAATCTATTTTATCTTGAGTTACGAAATTTAAAATTTTAAAAATAGTATAGATCTAACATATCTATAAATATCTGGAAATTTTAAAAATAGATGGTCTAAATAACTTTTTATAGGGTGCATTGTTTTTAGGATTTGAAATTCCATTTTTTCTTCATATCTACACATCTCAAAGTCGAAACGATCAATTGGCCAGTTCTCCAACATTGAAACACTCTCTTCTAGAAATTCTTCATATTCACACATCTCGAAGTCGAAATGATTAATTGACAGTTTCTCCAACATTAAAACACTCTCTTCTAGGAAAGAAACACTCACTTCTAAAAAAAGAGGAGGGGCTTAATAGGTTATCATTTGACGAATTGCAAGGCTACATCCTAAGCTCAATTCCCAACAAGGGTACCGACCTCTCCCTACGGATACACCTAAAAAAAAAAAACTCTTTTATGGGATTTTTGAGGTACAATTTGTCAAGGCTACATCTTAGGCTCAATTTCTACCACAGGTAGGGCCTCTCCCCACAGAGACACCCCAAAATTTTGAGGTGCACCTTACTTATATGTATTTACAATAAATGCATAATATTTACAATTAGAAATACATAAATATAAAGTTATATACAATTGATTCAAAGATTAATCATAAGTGCATGACTACATAATAAATATAGCAAAAGCCCTCACAAAATATTACATAATATTTAGAAAAGGGTGTGGTTTATATGAGGTCGCAACCTAAAACAATCCACTTAAGGTGCACCTCCAAATTTTATCATAAATGTAATTTTGCTGTAAAAAATTTGTAAGATGCTCTAATTATAAAATTTTGAACCTTAAAAAATAGTTTAAATCAAATAGATCTATAAACAGATGAAAACATGAAAATATATGATCCATATAATATATTACAAGATACACTATTTTTTATACAAGAAATATTTCTTTCTTTTCATATTCATATATCTCAATGTCAAGATGATCAATTAGAGGGTTTTCAACATCAAAACAACCTTTTACGATAGATTTTTGAGATGTACGTATAAACTTCTTCATTTAGACAAAACTTATTTTTGGAAATCAAGGGCTTTTTACAACAATAAAATATCAAGAAAAATATCAAAATCATTAGAAATCAAAGAGAAAATGAACTTAATACATTTATCCAAATCCATCCTAACACTAAGAATTCTAAAACGAAATCCCTAACAAAATATGACATAATATTCAAAAAATTATGAATTTCAAAAATTAGATATTTTTCTTAAAATAGAAGATAGAGAGAAAAAATCATATCAAAGAGCAAAACGACAAATAAATGGTCTAAATTTCTTGTAACGAAGACTAAAAAAAACCCTAACATAATATAGCACAATATTCACAAAACCTCGAGGTTCTCGTAAAAAAAATCAAGCAAAAAATCCAAATCCGAATGAAATCATAAAAAAACTTAACAAACAAATACTCTAAATTGTGTTCTTAACACTCCAAAACAAAAATCCTGACAAAATTTCACATGATACCAACAAAAAAATGATTTTTTTTGAAAATATTTTTCAAAAAAAATTAAAAATCAAAACAAAAACTACATCTAAAAACAATACACAAATACAACATTTACTTTTAATACAAGGAGACCAATCATTCTTGTCCGTCGGATTTCAAATAAAGTAATTATGAGTGTCATTGACTAGACTCAAATTTCAAAAACAAATTCTTGAACTTCCTGACACCCTAATCCATAAAATTTGACATCGGATAGCAAGGAATAATTGTGATCCCCTTACAACAAAGATAAAATAATTATGCCCCTTTATAACAAAGATAAATGGTCTCGTAACATACAATCCCTATAAAAATACTCCTAAATCAAATCAAACTCCTTCAACAAATAAATCCAAACCAAATTGCTGATACACACTTAGAAACATAATTTTGTATTACCCATATCTAAAAAAAGGCTACCCGAACAGCTGATTTGATCCAAAAATTACAATATGCCTTATATAAGGATCCAAAACAATCATTTTGATATAAACTTCCAACTAATATGGTTGCGAACTTAAAGCGAAATCAAAGGTTCAAAAGGATGAGATTTTCATCGAAAATTTTGCCCAAACAAAGTTTTGATGTTAAGGGAACTAAAATGGATCGATTGGTGAAAAACATAACCAAATTGCCTCAGATTGATGCTTTTTGCACGAAGCCTAAAAAAGTTGGAAGAGCCTTTTTTTTGCTAAAGGTCATGCCAAGAGATTCGTCTGATTTTGTACAAGAACCCTGCAGGTACTTTACAGGGTGCTGAGCACCTGATCCGACTAGGACAGTTCCAATTCAAACAAGCAATTTTCTGAACCTTACTTGATACAATGACCAAAATTGTAACACCCAACCTGAAAAGACCCATATTCACCATTCCAACGTTTGTCATTCCTTCAGCAAAAATTTTCTCAAAACACCATTTATCCTTAAGCTTGAGAAAATAAAAAATACTCTTAACCCTTAAATATGAAAAGAACATAAAAAAAATAAAAAAATATACAATGAGACCATTTATCTTTGGTATAAAATAGTCACAATTAATCTTGACCATAGGATGTGAAATTGGGTAGCTACATTTATTGTATTGATCAAGCTCAAAGTTCAAAAAATATTTCCTCGAACTTTGTGACACATCCAAGCTATCAGATTTTACATCAAGTGATTATAAATAATTGTGACCCCATGTAGGAAAAGTAAATAGTCTCATTGCATAAATCCCTAAAAAAATATAGAGAAATAATATCCCCAATTATCAGATTCCATAACGGGGGATGATTGTGACATTTTCTTCTTGACCTAAAGTAAACAACCTTGTTACATGGTAGTTTGGCAGTGAGATTCAAACTTGAGACGAGGTGTCCAATCACAGCTTAACCAATCAAGTTCAAGAATGAACACAGGGTTTGAAGCAATCAAAGTAAATTAATCTGTCACAGACATTCAGAAATATTTAACATCATTAGAATCCCAACAAATAAGACAAGACTAATGTACAAAGCAGTCTAGGAGATCATGATACATGTCTCAAACATGTGATGGCAAGCTTTCACTTTTGTGTTTGAATAACAGATCAGGTCACTCACCATGCTCTTATTCCTCGTTCTCAATTAATTCAACCTAGACTTTCAATTAATTCATCATCATGTCACACATCCAAGAGCCAAATGCAGTCTAAAACCCCTAAGGCGCAGATTCTTATATATGTAAAGGATAAGAGCAATTTCATAGACTTCAAATTATCTTGACTACAAAAGAGATGAAAAAATACAAATACCTGAGCCACAATAGAAGGAGAGCGATCTGGCAGACCTCACTTTCTCTCAGTTTTTAAACGGAAAAGAGTAAGGGGAAATTCCCAACCCTAACCATGATTAGATCAAAAAGGAATTCAAAGAGCAAAATTGGTAAAAGCTTATATGTAGAGAAAATCCAACTAGATGGGTGCAAAAGCCTTCTTCCCACCACCACCAGCAGAACCAGCTGGTATTACTTTCAAAACATTGAATCGTACAGTCTTCGACAATGGCCTGAAAAACCACAACATTGCAAATAGACAATAAGCCATAAACTCTCTCTCTCTCTCTCTCTCTCTCTCTCTCTCTCTCTTGAGAGAGCATTTTACCTGCATTGACCAATGACAACATGATCACCCTCCTTCACGCGAAAGCAAGGGGATATGTGCGCCGGAATATTAGAATGCCGCTTCTCATATCTGCAAGTTTGGTGCCAAATTTTCAATTTGTGTTTCATTATGTTTACTCAAAAATCTCAGATGGAATTAGGATCAGTATTGGTATATGCCTTTGATATTTCTTAACGAAGTGAAGATAGTCTCTGCGAACAATGATGGTCCTTGTCATCTTTGCACTGTAGCAGGTGCCGGTCAATATACGACCCCTGATGGAGACGCTCCCAGTGAAAGGACATTTCTTATCAATAAAAGTCCCTACAAAAAAAGTAAACAATCAAATAGGACATCCGTAATGGAAGATTCCCAAGCTCTTTGAAATTAAAATTTGGATCTCTTCCAGCATAACATAGGCTAATCTAATTGGGAGCCATAATTCAAATGTAGGCTTACAAGAGCAATTTTTTATGTATCATTACAACTCTTCCAAAGCTTATTTACAATTGAAAAATGCCTAACAATCAAGATTTGCTGATGTCACTGTCCGTTTTCTAAAATGTAATAAGAATTTCTAGCAAAAAATCAACAAGATTCCCCGTATTCTGTCAAGTTTGCAACTTGAGAAATGTTTCTCGTAAATATTTGGGCCCAAAATGAACAAATAGTCCACAGAAAACCTGTGAAGGGAGGGAATAAACCACAAGAAAATTCAAATATCCAACAAGTAGAGCAACGCATGAAAGATAAAGACACCTAACAGAAAAGTAAGATTCCTGCATGGAAGATCTCCTGCATGGAAGATCTACAAGCCACTGAAATTCCAAATAGAAAATTTTTTAGGACAGATAAAAACTATTATTAGCCAACATCATAATTCAACGATTCAGACTTAACCTTCTTCCAAAACAGAATAATAAAATGAGTTCAGTTCATGTGTGATTATGAAAACGCTACAATTAAAAACACCAAGCAAAAAGCAAAGGCTTCAATAACAATATAATCCAATTTGCAGAATAAAATGCCTTTGGAAGAAGATAGAACCAAGTACCCATAAAAATGACATTATTTTTGCACAATTAGTTCTTCACATTACATCAAATTAAACACCCATTCCACAAATTTGTAATGTTTAAGAGAGAGAGAGAGAGAGGAACAACTTTATTTCCTCCTGGTGGGATACTATACAGCATCAACCAGTTAGGATCTCCCATATTGGTGGCAATCCCACATTCCCGGAGAGGGATATTGGAATCCAACCGCTAAATGTCGTCAACGTTCCCTAGGTGCCAACCCCCAAAACCGCCCGGAACCTCAGGCACAAGTGTCAGATGTGCACATAGATACATATACGCAATGTCCGATGCACATATATGCCCATATATGTGTTAAATATGTATATTTATGCATCCATATGTATTCTAATCAATGTTGAAACATGTTCAAATCTGAAAATTTTGCTTCTTTGAATAACTAAAAGCATCAATCCAAGCCTTATCCCAACCATTTGGGGTTGGCTAAACAAATCTTGTTCTACCATTCTGCTCTATCAAGAGTCATACCCTTAGTCAGACCATAAGTCACCGTATCTCTTCTCACTACATCCATCCATGTCCTTTTGGGCCTCTTTGAATAACAAAAATAGTGATAAGTACAGTTTATTGGTGAATTAGTATCCATACACCATAGTCAATAGTCCATACTTCATACGATCATACTCATAGACTCCCAAGTCTCCAAAATGATGTTGTACAAAAGATGATGTTGTACAAAATGATGTACAAAAGATGCTATACAAAAGAAAACAAAGAGAAGATCTTTAATGTTTCAATGTTTTGAATGTCTGATCTTCAATGTTTCGGTTGTCTAACACGTTCAAAATCATTCCCAAAGTCATAAAATAACCTCATTTGTACCCTAAAACTCATTGCCATAAAATATGGTAAGGTCGCAGATGATTCTACAAAATTCTCAAAGTTTTCTCATTTCGGAAAATATCACAAAACTGATCGATTTTGATTGTTTCTAGGGCATAGGAAGAGTCTTCTTACTTGGAGGGGTTAGATTAATCCCTTTTCATTGGTCCAAATGACCTAAAATGGCCCCACCAAGAAAAACAATTTCCACCATCTTTAGGGAAGTTTCTAGCCGCCTGCATAGACCCCTTGAGCAAGTGCCCAGGAACTTCCCACGAGGTGGCCTATGGACCTAGGCAGCCACCTCGGTGCCGGGCTAACCATTTTTTGAAATAACACATTTGAAGAAAACAATCCCACTCCCCTAAGCATCGGACTCACATTAGATAAAAAGACATCTTAAATGCCTATTGATAAAATTAATCATGCTACAAGATCATGTTCTATATATTCTTCAGAGGGAAAGAGATGCTTTCATCCATATCTATCAAAAAAAAAAAACAGTCTATAATGAATGTCAACTGAAAAAGAAAAAACTACTGATGAAAATTCTTGTACGGTATTTTTGAATGGGTAGAGATGCTCAAATTCGAATTAATTGAGAAAAAGAGAAGAGTCTTGAATGCTATGATTTCATAATTGCATTAAAGAATAAATTCTAGTCCAAGTTTAGCAACTTTGATCGGAAATTCCTCACCTATCTATTTTTACATTTAGTCTCTTTCTATCCATGCTTTAGGTTTGTTGCTTCTTTTTTTTAATTTAAAAGGAAGGGGCAGGGGAAGTTAGAACCTATTTTGAATAGTATATCTCTTGATATCTTCTCTTAAAACTCACTTTACATTAATCAAATAACTTATTGTGAAAGATTTTCACATGATAAGACTTGGGTAAATAAATACAAGTTTTAAAAATTACTCAAGAAAATATATTAGGAAGTAGTATCTAATATGTTTTGTGTATCTACGTAAATTTAAAAAACTTATGTGTGTTTTATATTTTCATATTTTATATATATTTAATGTAAGAGCACTCCTATGAAACTCCCAAACTAGGGATCCTCTTCGTACCCACAATCCCTTGCTCTTGCATCTGCTTCCACCTCCAACAACTATGATACAACATTAAGATAGGCTTATAATGTTTTTAAATAATGGTTATTTTTTTGGGGCATCATTTGCATCCTTAAATCACCATTTCTTGTATCTGATGTGTATTCATCACAACCAAGGCTGAACTCCTAATATATTAGGAAAAAATTTAAATTAGATTTACTCAATATATTAGAATATAAATATATTAGACTCAAGAAACACAATAATACCAAGTTATTTTCTTTTGATTGGTAACAAGAATTCATTGATCAAAATCAATTTAGAAGAGTGCTTTTATGTCCTTACAATGTCTATATACACTCAGACATTCCAAGAATTTAAGAGCAAACACGTCGACAGTCAATGATTGCTTCCATACCCCTTCTTTGGCTCATCTGCTTTTAACATCCATTTCCTTTCTAAATTGATTATATTGCTCATTTAATCTCCTAACTCTCACCCATATTTCTTCAAACACATCTTGTAGTCTCCAAGGGCAAGCCTCACATCAACCGACCTATGCAATGGCATTAATAGAATCACCCTCAATGATCATATCTTTATTTGGGACTCTCATCCATATAGAAGATGCCTCTGCACTGTTTGACCCATGTTGAGGAACTGGTCCTAAGTAGGTCAGACACATCCTTCATTGGTGGTCCTTAACTAGTCCTTCTACTACTGCTGCTCATGTATTTCCCTTGAGGCCAGTGGTTTAAAAAACGGATCGGTGCCCCGGATTGGGCACCCCAAAAACCCATCCGGATCGGTAAATCAGCGATCGGGATCGGGAATCGACCGAATCGGTCAGATTAAGCCTTACAAAAAATCCAAAAAAAATATTAAAATTCATTATAAATGTTGTTTTTTAGGAATCCAATAAGAAATCGGTGTACTACATTATTAACTTTCATTTTTTTATCAATATACGAATATTGAGATGTTATTTTCATGTATGAATTCTTTCCATGTATGAACTTATTTTAACCATTAAATTTACATCACAAAAAAGAAAAATCATGGAATTATCATGGATGAAGCATATAATCATACATGAACTACAATAAAGAATGGTTTAAATTGATGAAAAAATGGCCACCAAAATCTCAAATTGGTGGAGAACCCTAATCCTTTAAAAAAAAACCCAAATTATTACAACCTAACTAACTATAATCCAAAATTATTACAACTTAACTAACTATAATATTATATACTGAAATTGAAATCGTTGCTTTACATTTTATAATTATTTTATTATACAAATAATAACAAATTCAAAATATCTTATAATATCATCTAACGAAAAATACACTAGTGACAACTATAAGAAAAATAGTACATTATATAATTTATAGTCGAAATAAATTAATAAACAAAATAAAAGATTTGGTTATTAATGTACAAATTATTAGAATGCGTACTATTTTTTGAAATGGACTCATTTTATGAACCCTATCTTTAAATTAATATTCCTAAAGATATGTTAAAGATCACCATGTTATAAAATAAAAAATATAATTAGATTATTTATTCCTTGGTAAAAAAAAATCTAACAATAGGTATTCATAGATGAGAGAGAGAAAAAGAGCTAACATGCTCCAAGGCTATGTTGTGTTACCTTTACATATCTAATTTAAACTTATAATAACGATAGCTTAAGTGTTTGAAAAGCATGATACTTCATGTTTTATCTTTATTTTGTTTTTTTGATAAGAAATATTTATTGTAGTACCATTTATTTTTTGTATTACTTTCTATTTTTTTGACAAGAACCTTATATTTTTTATTTTTTTACAAGAAATAGTTGTTGTATTACCTTTCAGTTTTTTGACAAAAAAAATTTATTTTTTTTGACAATAAATACTTGATGTATTACCTTTTATTTATTTTTGACAAGAACCTTTTTTTTTTTTTAACAATAACCTTTTTTTTTTTTAACAAGAAATGTTTGTCGTATTACCTTTTTTTTTTCCTTAAAGAAACTTTTTTTTTGTGACAAGAAATACTTGTTATATTACCTTTTTTTATTTTTGATAAGAACCTTTTATTTTTATTTTTGACAATAATTTTTATTACCTTTTTTTTTTTTTGACAAAAAAAAAAAGAAATTTGACAAGAAAGGGAATTGATAAGAACCTTTCATTTTTTTGTTGACAATAACTTTTTATTGCCTTTTAATTTTTTTGACAAAAACCTTTTATTTTTTTTAACAAGAAAAAAATTGACACGAACTTTTTATTACCTTTTATTTTTTTTTTTTGACAAAAACCTTTTCGTTTTTTTAACAAGAAAAAAAAATTGACAAGGTAAGAAAATATTAATAATTTTGACAAAAACCTTTTAGTTTTTTTAACAAGAAAAAAAAAATTGACAAGATAAGAAAAAAAACAAGGTTGCCAAAATTCGAATAGCGACCTCCATGGGAAGAGTCGAACTAGCGACCTCCATGTAAAGAAAGTCCGTGCTAGCCTGTACACCACATGCCACTATGTGATGTAACCAACCCAAATAAAATACTATAATATATCATCTTTTCATGTTATGACCTTTTCTTCACAATATCCCATATCGAAAAGGTGGAAATAGACAAGATGTGAATAAATACTTCCTTGTACTACTAACGTGTATCACGTGATGTGAATAAATACTTCCTTGTACTACTAACGTGTATCACGTGCGAACCAATGTATAAGCGAAGGGCCCTTGGCTAGGGACACGTGGTGAAGTGTGGACCGTAGGTTCTTTGACCAATTTTAACCAATACACGTCATGCCACGCGATTAAAGACGTCATGTTGTGAGTTTACTGTACACACGTCATGCAACGCAATTAATGACATCATGTAGCGCGTTACTGTACACACGTCATGCAACGTGATTAATGATGTCATGTAGCGTATAGAATCGCAGGTTCTTCTCTAGAACCGGTATAAAATTGCCTGTTCTTTTCTAGAACCGGACGATTCAGCGTGTTTTAGCGGAATCGACACGGGGGGGGGGGGACCGATTCCCGTGGCGACTCAGGCGAGTCCGTTGCAACTCGTCGAGTTTTTAATCATTGCTTGAGACTCCCATCAAAAATCAGCATGAGAATTCCATCTGAGGAAAATCGACTTGGCTGGCTTCTCTTGCCAATTCATCCTCACTAATTCCTTGAATTCAGTGGTTTAACCCCTTATTGCTTCCATGCCTTAGTCTATGATATGGCTGTATTTGGATTTTAAATTTGATAATTTCAGCCCCAATGATTTGCCCGGAATGTTATTTTATTCCTTCTGCAACCATAGCACCCTCAGCACAGCCACCAAAGTTAGTCTCCACAATATGATTCCTAACATTGGCAATGACAAGTCCTAGTCGTGGCAATGATGATCATAAGTTGAAATAGTGCTCTGCTCAGAGAAAGCACACTTGGTGAGCAAAAAGAAAGTCGCAATTTGTTTTGATGTATCATTTTCATTTTATGTCTGATGATTCAATTGATTTAAGTCCAGTGTTAAATAAAAAAAAAAAAAATCAATTGACTGAGTTGTTACTATAATGACTTCATAGCATCAGGGGTTTTATCAACCTAATGTAGTTACACAAGCAATTATCGATCAAGTGAGGATGTAGCAAAACACAACAACCATTAACGTGGTTCCTCAACTAGACGCAACCAGTCAGTTCTCTTTTCATTTAATAAGAGCAAATCCCAGTGCTATTAACCAAAAGTAAGAAGACTTCAATGGTGGTGCCATGCCACAAAGATAATAGTCAGAAAATATCAATACCTTCAATTGCTTCTCTAGGAGTCTTGAAACCCAACCCAATATTTTTCCAGAAACGATTTCCACCTTTGCCGGGCCTTTTTCCCTTCCCGGATTTCTTGGAGCTGCAAGCACATTTTCACAACCATAATTAAAAAAAAAAAAGGATGAAATTCAGAGTCACATTTCAAGACATTGAAATCAACCAGTCTCCATAGAAACACTCCCCAAATGATGGGAACAAGTGATTACCTCAAAAACACTTTTGGCTGCTTCAAAAAAGCCTTTTCTGTCTGCATATACAAAAGTAATAATGAGGACAATAGAAAGTCACTTCAACAAACAAAACATTTCAGTTGCCTAGGTTGAAAACCTTCTCATTAAGAGGAAATGAGAATGATTATCAGACAATATTTGCAAATGACAAATGTCAGTTTCTTTGCTCATAACTGCACCACAAAAGGGCAGTTTATTTGGCAGACAAATTACTTGAAAGTTTTTTGGAGCAATGTTCTCTAAATGACCAGACTGGTGCCCATTCCAATCCTGTTTAACCCTTTGGACCAGGATGTCCACCGAACAAGTCAAGAATCGGTGGACCAATCGGTTCAGTAATAGGACAAGCCTACACCGATTCGGGACCAAATCGGCAGGTCCTATTAAGGATAAAAAATGATCATTTCTGCCCTTTTTCAATTTTGGGGACATTTCCTCACCTTTTTGGAAGGGTTTCTTAGTCTTCTTTATTTTAACTAAGGGCATCTTTGTCTTATGAGAAATGGATGGTTTTCGGGCTTTTCAAAGGGAGAGAATCTTTGAACTCCAAACCCATGCCTATTTTTTGGCAACTTTCAAAAAGAATTCCAGCCATCATTCCACACGATTTGAAGCCCCATAAAAGTTTACTACACTATTCGTTATTAATTTTCAGACAAAATAAATGTTTTTAGATTTTTTGCATTTTTTATTATAACCTTTTTTCAAATCAATGCAACATATTGTTTTTTGTATTCAATTTAGTGATTATCTATACTGAGTTTATGGATGTTTATTTTTGTACTTATTAGACATCTATTTTTGTCTTCCGAATTTTTATTTCAAATTTCCAGATTACTATTTTATATGCACTTATTTGTTCCATTAATGCTTAAATGAAATCTTCCAGAATTTCATATTTTATCTATTTTTCAAATTTTACACATGTTTCCTGATCTTTCTTTTTTCTTAAATGCCCTCACCAATCACTCACCAGTACAATTAACAACAATGTCTAGAAGATAAAGTGTTAAAGAAGCATCTGAAACTAAATTCATCCAATTGCTGAGAAACAAAATGTTATCACAATGAAGCACCAGCATGCAACCACACAAGTACCATTGCGTGGACTAGTTAGTAGTTACAAAATAAATAATAAATACATAAATAAAACAAAGTTTTAAGTCATCACCAAACTAGTGGCATGTCAAAGAAGTTAACAAGAAAATTGAGGACCCAAATTCCAGATCAAATAAAGATTCGAACACAACTTTCATCAAACAACACATGCAACAACGCATATCATCAGGAGATAAAAAGAAAGCCACAAAAATAAAACAAAGTTTTAAGCCATCACCAAAGTAGTGGCATGTCAAAGAAGCTAACAAGAAAATTGAGGACCCAAATTCCAGATCAAAGAAAGCAACAAAAAAAAACAAAGTTTTAAGTCATCACCAAACTAGTGGCATGTCAAAGAAGCTAACAAGAAAATTGACGACCCAAATTCCAGATGAAATCAAGATGTGAACACAACTTTCATCAAACAACACAAGCAACAATGTATAGCATCAGGAAATACAAAGAAAGTAACAATAATGGATGCATGTGAGTTTTGAGGAACTAGGGCGCTAAAACATGATAATATATCCTATTTTTGTTAGAACTAATATTACAGCTAAATGTATGGGTGTTGTCCATAACTGTCCACTTCCAATTTTTTATGAAAAAATTAATAATAAAAATGAAAACAGGCTAATACAACTATAACTTTCTGGAATTCTGAACAAGTTCATGAAAATAAAGAAAAAAGAAGAATTGGAACAAAGAAATATCAAGGAAATATAATTTCCATCCATTATACTTTATTTCTTTATATATTCTGAAGTGCCAATGGCAAATAGTTGGAATAAGGCTCCGATGATGATAAAGTGCAGTAGTGCACAAACATGAATAAATAACAACAAAGTAAACTCTAATTTTTTTGTTCATTTTACTAGAAAAGGTGAGGACCCAATGAGAGGCGGACACATGTGGAGCTCTACTAGAGTGAAGAAAAGATAGGCAGGAGGGGATACATATTTACCAATCAGCAATCAATTCCAAAAGGTTGCCTCTGCATCTAAGAACAAATTATATGGGTAGATAGAAGCCTTCATGTTTTTTTCTTCCCCATGTTTTAGTTAAGAATCATCCCTTTGCTTGAACTGAGATACTCCATAAGCAAGGGACATTTGATGCAAAGAAAGATAAAATTAGGAGATGGCCTTATGCAGCATGTAAGCATAGAAATGCGGTATCTGGACTCACAATAAAACAGGGAAATTTATGTCCAACTACATAAATGTGTGGGTTGGTCTTGATGTAACCCTTCGAGACATCTAAAAAAAAAGGAATAGACCAAAGAAAGATAATGCAGATGGGTCATATTGAAAGCACACACTCCAAAAAATATAGACTGTGGTGACATCAAAACAGCAAAATTCATTTATATTTTGTTGCAATCATTGGAAAAGCACAACCAACCAAAAGCACAGAGGCAAGATGGAAAAATATAAATTAATAATGCCTTGTGTATGAGGATAAAGTATCCGGGAAATTCCGAAACTTGCTGAGTAAAAATAATTACAGTACGTCAAGCAAGCAAGCAATTAATTCATTCATAAAAGTAGATCAGTTTATTTTTTTTTGCCCTTCAACGGAGTCAGGATAATCCTTGGCTAAGTCATATACTCATATGATACGGAAATCTCTCTCTCTCTCCCTCCCTCCCTCCCTCCCTCCCTCCCTCCCACCCTCTCTGGAATCACACTGGTAAAAAAAATCAACTCCAGAAATAGGCAAAAATCCAGATCAGCTAATTCGACGAATCCAGTAAACACTTCAGATGAAGAAAGCGAAACAGAAATCACCAAAAAATACAGAACCTAAGCTGATGACAAACTAAAAATGTATAGACAAAAACAAGTTCTCGCATATTCCAACTGAAGCGCTCAACCAGGGAGATGTTTGTATATAAATCAAGAGGGATACAAAGATGATGGAAGCAAAACCTCAAGCTTTGCAGGTTCTACAATGGTGGAAGAGCTAGGGCCGACAGCATCGAACAACAAAAACCAAAGTAGGATGATGTCTAATTGAATATGACGCTTTCATAACAAATGAAGCATAAGAGAGAGAAAATCTAGGGTTTCATACCTGTTCCGCCATGGCGACGAAGAGAACGGTCCCCAACTTTCAGATTCCAAAACCCTAATCCTCTGAAAGCAGACCCCCGCCACCATGCGCCCTAAACTTTTATATCCCAAAAAACTGCCATAAAATAGCCATTAGGGGTGCAGAGAAGGACACTAATTACAAAACTGCCCACTCATGGAAATATTAAGTGCCGTTTGGACGTCCTTATTTTCCAGGTCGCAAAGGAAGCTCCCACGAAATCGCGTATTTGTTTGGCGTGTCACTATTCATATGAGTCCTCTCAAAATAGTTAATAATCGAATTACCACTAATAGCAAGTGCATATAGTCGGTTTTGATATGATTAAGCTTAATTGGTTGGCAATTAATATTTACAACGCTATGTTCATGGATGCTTTTAATGATATGTAAGAGATATCGCTAGGATAAGGCCAACTGGGCATCCAAATAAGGCCTCATGCATTGGTGCATGGCACCTAATATTGCTCAATGCAACTACCAAATGGGGAATTCAGACCAATTCACAAGTAGGGTAGTGTTATCATGAGGCACTTACCCATCGAACACAATGTAACCCCTTCCGAGGCCCTCAAAATCCATATTTTCCATAGAATAAAGATATCAAATACAAATTTTAGATACATGGATTTGTAGCCCTCAAATCTATGCAAATCTAATTGATGTTACGCTATTCTCAAACAGGAGATTGAGATTGGGATTGACGAATGGATGGAATGATTGGCACGAGCCTCCACTAAATAGCGAGATGACGAAATTGAAGGAGAAGAAAGAAACAAGTCTATAAACACAAGCCCAGTGCCTCGTGCCATGACTGGTGCGCGGGCCGTGACAAAAGAACTTACTCTGATCGTTTTAGGATAAATTCACTCGATGGTCTTGGTACACGTCTCCTAAGAAGTACACCGCTTGACTTATCTATTGACAACCAAATGCAGCCTTGCCAAGTACCCATTAGGACGTGGGTTCATTGAAATGCACAGTAAACACTACATATTGAAAAGCATTTCAAATAGACCATTTTTATGGGTTCTAAATCCATTTTTCAAGATCTTGATCTTGGGTAGTCAAGAGGATGGTCCTGCAACTTTGGATCCTTGATCATCCAAATTATGGAGAAAACTAGGGGTTCCATAATCCCCCACCTAACCAATTGTCTTTACTTACAAATATAATGCAAACCCCCTCTTTCTAGTGGTGTTTTGCACAAAATAAATACGCCATACTATAGTCACAATGTCTTTCCCAAACAAATCCTAACTGGGCATCCTCCGTTTGGACAACCCAACAACTTGATTAGCCTTGATACTCTCCAACATTTTTATGGAATTATCTAGAAGAGAGTGAGAAATAGGTTTTATTTCGTAAGGTTTTAAGTGTGTTATGGTATTCTCTTAATAAGTAGATGTTAGAAAGGTTGGTACTCTAGAATAGTGAAGGGGACCAAGTTCTTTCTGTCAGGACTCTTACATGGGTGGGGGGCAGAGCAAAGTAAATGGTTCATTCAAGTCAAGTCTTAAATGGAGTTATTTGAAAATGACTGGATGATAAATTTTCCTTTTTATATAGTTGTAAAGGATTTTCGTACTAATTTATTAACAAGAGGTAAATAAAGGCTTGACTTTTAAAAAATGGAGCATAGCAAATTCTTTCCTTTTACACTCCTAATGGAGTAATGGAGCGGTGGAGTAAACAAATTTATTCGTTGAATAATTAGCTAAAGTGATGTGTTTATTAGCTAAGGAATGATACACCCCTCACCCAACCTTGTGATACTTGTGTGGTATGTTTTGTTTGTTGGTGAAATATATTAATGACGTAATACATTACTGCATAATATATTACATGCAAATGGATCGTTACTGTTTGTGCAGTATTTAGATGCAACCTGAGAAATACATTACTCTTACTGGACAAGGTTTAATATGGAATTTATCTATATTGCACCTTAATTTGCTCTTACACTCTTATTAGACACAGCGATTTAATATGGAATTGTCAACAAATAGATCATTTATCTTTTGTACGTACAATCATTATTGTCCTTTAAATTTTAAAATGGATGGTTGTAGTCATTGAATAAATACAATTTTTTAAAAAAAAAAATTCACTTCATGACTCACCTCAAACCATCCAATTTGACATTTAATATTTGAAAATGATTGTGACATCCATTCATAAAAGATAAATGGTCTCTTTGTAGATATTCCTATTTAATATTGAAATGCATATGTATAGATAGCATGACTATACCATGCTTGTCATGCCTAAAAGAATAGTAACTTAGTAGTGTGTGTTAATATTGTTCATATACATTGAGTGAACTATTTTAGTCACAACATTTAAATATCGTTAAATAGTAAATGGTGATGTATTTTTAAAAAAATTATTATGAAATGGTAAAGTATTTTAAAAAATAGATTGAGATATTTGAAGAGGGCAATGTGTAAGTAATTTATCACTTCTATATTTGTATCTAAAACCTAATCCCAAAAAATCATTTTTTTTCAAAAGAGTAATAATTATAATTTAAATAAAATATAATTTACCACTTTGTTTTTCTAGATCTAAACCCTAATCCAAACAAAATCCTTTTTTTTTTTCAAAAGATTTAGTAATCATTATATTTTACCCTCGCGACTAGCTTATAGAGAGAGCAGATAAAAGATGCTCCAAGAGGGACAGAGAATGGAGGCTCAAAGAGGGACAGAGAAGGGAGGCTCGAAGAGGGACCGAGTAGAGAGACTAAGTAAAAAGGACTGATTATATCACAAGAGAAAACATAGAACATTTTGTTTCCATAAATGTACATTTGGGTTCCATTAACGCAGTGCTTAATGAAGAGAGATAAAGGTTGAGGAAGCGAGGGAGAGGATAAATAGTAGATTCGAACAAAATGATGGGAGGAGAGAAATTGATGCCATGATTTAGAAATGACATTAAATCTAGAAAATGTAGGCTAAAGAAGCTTGAGAGAGAGAGGGAAGTGGTAGGCTTACGAGGTTGAGAGGGAAAAGGGGAGCTTGAGAGGGAGAAGAGGATATACGTATGAGATTTCCCTGCTATCCCCGTATGTAATAGATTTCATGATATTTGGGGAAATATTGTGTAATCTATTTTCATTTCTTTACTAATAAATATACCGAAACAGTACAAATATCATATTTCCTAGTAATATATTTTCAGGTACCCAAACGGCTCCTTAATGCGAGAGTTACAAAGTTATATATCCTGCGTAAAAGTAGGTTAACCCCTCAAGAAAGATATAATAAAGCAAGATGAAAAAGATATGGAAGTGTTAAAGGTGATCTTAAGCATAATGCAAAAATATATGCATAAGATAACTCAATAAAATATCAAATAACATGCTAACAAGGTGCATAGGTGTACAAAGCTTTTTGTATTTATGAGGTCAAGAAGTTCCAAGGTACTCGTGGACACTTTGTTAATTACATATATTGTCTCATACTATTCCGAGGGGATGTGATGCTTCCAAAATACGTGCAAACAATAGGTAATGTGAGGAGAACATTGAACCACCTGAGAAAAAAGTTATTATGAATGTCTAATTGTTTTGGTGGCAAAACTAGCTCATTTATTAACGCAATAACGAAACTCATTTGGTCAATTGGATCCATATTAGGAGGGATACTTCTAAAAAATTCATGACATAACCTTACCTTAAAGATGTGAGTGTATAAAAATCAATTCTCTTTACTTGGACTACAATATAGACAAAAACAAGCCATTACACTGTGAAAAATTTCAATACACTTTGAAATTATAACTTATAAAAACAAATTCATAAGATTATTGTAACTATAGTGAGTTATTGACTTTCAAAATACACTCAATTGAGATGATACAACTCAAGTGGGAACCCTTATATATACACAAACCAAGTAACAAAAGGAGATCATCAAACAACACATGTATAATATACATTTGAAAATCAGCACCACCCAAACTTGCATGGCAAAATTATATATCAACAAACTTATAAAATCTCGTCACAACATGATCTCTATTATATCAACATGCATAAGCTCAAGTGTGAAATGCGACATGACTATGAGAAGCCAATCGGAGCTCTTGAGTGCCCGGTTTACGGTATTAGGTCTTAGTTATGTGCTATTGGGTGACATGCGATGACATATCTCAAAATCGAACCAATTTATCATTTAATATGTGAGAAGCCAAGCATCTACTAATACACACTTAAAACATGAAATGATTTACAGAAATCTAAAATCAAATCAAGTGGAAAATTGTGGGAGAAAAACCAGGCTCTCAAAACACAAAATTGGTTCAATTGAGTTCACAATCCCAGCTCACAAAATTTCAGCATAGTCTCTTTTTATAAAATCAATAATTCAAAAGATAAAAATAAAATAAAATAAAGTGACTAATATGATAAAGGGTGGGAACATGTCGAGTCCTGGTGAAGCCATACCTGTCCTCGAATATTACTTGTGGACCCGCACCGGATGGGTTAAAAAATATGATATCCATACACGTACCCTAAATGGTACAAGGGACCCAAACCCGTACCCGACATGCTTATCTTGTACATTTGATTTTAAACTCCCCTACTTGTTTTATGGTTCTTAGAAATGAGTTTTTAGATCCATGTGACTCTATTCACCTCATCGATGTGGGATTAGTCTCATCCACTTCTTTATCTTTCTCTGACATTGTTTTTCTTTCTTAATTTGAAGGTGCATTTAAGTTATGCTTTAATAAAGACAACAAGCCTTTTAAAGTTGGCAAGGTCAGGTTGGCACACACGTTCTTTCTAATTCCCTCTATAACTTTCTTTTTAATTCTCTCTCTTAGCATGGCCAAGCTGGCACACATTAACTCAACATTAAATCTCTCATTAACGTTCTCTCTCTCTTAATTGCCAGCGCCATGCTGGCATACACCATGTCTCTTTCTCCCTTTTGAAAGTTAACAAAAGAAAAGGAAACATGCATGTTTCTCAAATATACCAACTCATCCCTCTCTCTCTCTCTTATTGGTGTGGGATTAATCCCACATCTAGGAAGGGCAGGGAAACATAGGATTCTAAGCTCTATAAAATGGGCGGA